TTTATATCACTTGACTGAAAAAAACGACGATTTTTAGAGCATGTTTGTTTATGGAAATTTTTTAAAAAAATTCAAACATTTTAACTCAACCACTTTTTTTAACTTAATTTTAATTCAATCCCACTATCATCGATATTATAATATTATCAATATAATTAAAAAATATCAACCAATTATTCATACACACCACTTTAACCTTAATTCACTATTCATCCACTCACATTATTTTAACTAACCATCACTTCAAATCATCTCTCTCATACTTTTACATCAAATCAATTTTAATTACTTTATTTTAATATACTCACTAACAACTAACCGTACCACTTTTTTCAAAATTAATCAAACCAAACCAAAAAATCCAAACAAAACAATAAATTTCCATAAACAAACTGAATCTTAGTTTTTTACACTTCCAAGTAATGTGGGTCTTTTTTTTTTTCCCTTTATTTATTTATATATTTATTTTTGCGTAATTTGCAGTTTCACATCTACACCCGACAAGTTATCGAACAAGTACTATTTGGGCCCAGCCCCTTTAGAAGACATGGCTAGGCAAATAGCAACGGCTTTTGGCCCGTTCGGAAACAACAAAGATTACCTCTTTTTATTGGAGAAGGCCATGTTTGATATCGGTAATTACACGACACATTTTCCCGGACATTTTATCTGCGGAAAGTTTGAAATGTGATCAGTTGTGAATTTGTTGCAATCCAAACAGGTCATGAGGATGACTACATTGTCGAGCTAGCGGATAAAGTCCGGAAGGTTCTTGGAGATATTGGAGCCGTTCTGAAGGAGAATAATAAGCTTCCGGGCTCGTCTGACGTGTCACTAAAAATCGACCTTTCGCCTGTTAAGTTGGGTCCGCCGGGCCATTGTGTTGGATTCTTAGCTGCTGCTAACAACAGTTGAAAGTAGTGAATGAATAAGGATTGACAGTTACTTTAGTTTTGATTTGAATTAGTGATGGGAGTTTTAGCCTTTTAGGAAATTGATAATTGATAATGAGGCAGTAATTTTTTATTTTTTTTTGGCGAATTGAATTTTTGGGGCAGAAATTTTTTTGGAATAAATGTCTA